GTAAACCTTTCGTATTAAGAATAAATTAGATTTAAAAAATCCACATATAGAACGTACAATTCAGCTTTTAAGATTCCCACTATAAAAATTGTATACAATTAAGCTTTTAAGATGTCCACTATAAAAATTGTATTTTACTAAACGTGGGCTACAGAAATATACCACATAGACATACCACCTATATTCCAAATATACCAACTATATACTACGTGCCAACTACACAAAAGCCCATTATCTCTTACTTTCTTACATTTATCTTCGTTCCAACTGTTTTCTGCTAATATATCCATATCATATAAGTACAAAAAAGAGCATGGAGCTCTGAAGATTGTCTATTGCTGCATTCACAACTGATAAAGAGCAAGAAAAAGACATCAACCCCTTGCACGAACCTTTCAGCTTTGTAGTTTACACTTGTTAATAGCCTTAAGGAAGCTATCTTTTGTCAATAAATATATTCTAAAACCGCGTATTTTGACACTGTTCAACATCTAACTACTATCCTGTCGAAGGTCCCTTCGTATTCGAAAAAGCCGCATGTAGGCCTCTTTGTTCTCCCCTGAGTTTCTCCGCCAAAACCAGTACAGCGCGATTAGCATCAGCGGTAGAAACTCTGGTTAATGGCAATTCTATGATCGTTCTAAGATGCGTCTCTAGCAATCTTTCAAACATCTTTTGTTCTTGGTCGTTACTCAATTATCGGATTGGCTCATTCTGCAGTAATGCCTTCACTCTTACTGATCTTTATGGTTTGACCAAACATGCGTTCCTGGTTGCTCGAACAGCACAGCAAGCCAAAGGGCACCAGACCCTGCACTTTTTTTCAGAGCTCTCCTAAAATGTCGTTTAAACCAGGCATTCCCATCCTTTTTCCTTTGATATCTCAAATCATACTTTCCCTAATTTGTTAGCGTTGATCTTTTCACAAGCTGTGAGATGGCTGTATCAGTGTTGGTAAAGATGTATCTTTGAAGTATGTTGCCATCTTTAAATTATCATTGCTATCTTTGTTAACTTCTCAGGGTTTTCCACTTACTTAGATTTGGCAGAGTCCATATTTTTTGGACTCTGCTCTCCTTCTAGCGATTCGTAAATGTTCACTCTCCCAAAAGAAATTCTATTCTCTGACCAGCTTTCTTATATGCGGTTGTTCTGCAGCGTATCTGGCCTAATCATCTGTAAATCAAGTTGCGCCTATCATTCTTTCCTTATCACAGCCATACTCGTCCCTTTAACAGATCTCCTTATGTTTCTTCCTCATTAGCTTCTTAATACTCATCATATTCTAAATCCTTATCCGATAAACATTATGCTCTAAAGTTGACTGTGATCGCATCTTTCGCCTGAAGCTGATAAAGCAACTACATGCTTCCCTAGCTGAAGCAATTTCTTCCGTTCCTTTACTGTACTTCATTTGCACCTGCGCATCGGATACGATAGATAAATATCTTCGGTATTAGTACTGTTGCTTCAATCCTTTGAATTCTGTGATATCCCGATATTCTGTAGGTAAGCCACATATTGGAGCTGTATCGGCCTCAAATCAACGCGCGTCTCACCACCCATGTTTCAC